AATGGCAGTACACATCGCATGAACGGGACACGAAATCGAGAGGAAATCGACAGAAAGGCTGGTTGCATATGGTGGAAATACAAGAAATCACAAGATAGGAGAAGCCATTTATATCGTGACTGAAAGAAACCTAATGAACAGGATATTTAAAGAATGAGGGTTAGTGAAAACGTTGAATACTGCCTAAACAAACTCGGAGAAGATGAGGGAACAACAATATCAGCAAAAGAAGATGACTGGATAAAGTTAATACTTTAATTTTAGGAAAATAGACTACAATTAGACCAGAGAGTAATGATCGGAAATCAAGAGAAGACGTCTACAATGAGCCCATTTAAAGCAAGTAGAACCATCATGTTTGGGGATTGACAAGCAATATAAAATCATAGAAGAGCGAGATAAACGGTGGTAGCCATTTCTAGTTGGCTATTAGTAGATAAGTTGGCTCATAGACGAGGTCCATGAAGTAAAGGCTTGACCACAAGAGTTACTCGGTGCACATGCGGCACAGCGATAAGGGAAGTTGCAGCGTCAAGTTAGGTTGCCATGCCAAATGAGAATCCAGACTTTAGGCGTTTGCTCATAAGGATGGTACACACTCGCTATCAAAGGTTTGAGGCAGAGTGCAGAACAACGCCTTGAAAGTAGCACAGATACGGTGGCAGCGATGGAGTGAAATCACTGGAACAGGCAGATAAGGAAAGGACCCTACGGAGCAAGAGGGGACTCTGATATGACCCGAAGAGAGAGCATTGCAGATTAAACCTCAATCTTGGATCAACACTCCCAGCACCGTGGGAGGGATGAGGAAGCCAGCGGGGAGTGTGAATAGATTTCAAATAGGTCTTGATAAGCAAGTGGGAAATTGTGATATTGAAGGGGTGATATGAGGATATAGGATAGGTGAAGAGCCCAGGACAGAAAGAGAGATACCACAACTGTTTACAACGCAATTGGTCAAAGGATCGACTTCACTTGTCCCTCTGACGACTGTTAGTGTAATGCTAAGAATGCCAAGTCTCACTGACGATGCCGACTAGGATTCCGGCGAAACGTCTGTGAATGTAGAAAGTCTACTGTCCGACTCTGGAAATGATCATGCATACT